CCCGCCGCCCCCGCGGGTCTCGCTGTGACGCGGGCATGAGCCTGGCCCGCGCCTCCGCCGAGCGAGCGACCCCGGCCAGGGCCGCGGCGCCCAGGTAAATGTGGGGCGCGGGGCGGGGGAGGGAACCTAGGCCGAACCGAGCCGCGCCTGGGAAGACCCTCGGCGACCCCCACCCCGGGGAGCCACCCCCACCCCGGGGAGGCGTCAGTCACCTCTTGAACCTCTAGAGATCGCACAGTGACAGCTCTCCTACTCTTGGGATCCATGGGACCCCGACTCTGTAGGGGGTGGGGGCGGGTCCTTGAGCCAGCCCAAGGCCTTGCACACTCCTGAACTGTACCCACCTCCAGCTCCCTGCAGGGAATCCCGGATGGGGCGAGACCCTGCCAGTGACACCTCCCCACCACCGCTCCCGCTCCATCGGGAGCCCTGGGCACCTGTACTCCCGCGCTGGGGTCTGCATTTGCAAGGGGCCTGGGACCCCAGCCTCTTATTTCAAGAGACCACAGCCAGAATTCCAAGAGACTACCTCCCACCTGTAAATGCAGTTCTTACCCTGAAGCTCCACTTCTTGGCTCCGTTGTCGTGTTCTTCCCACCTTTCTCCCCTTGTCTGGCCACTGCCCTCCCTGGGATCTCCAGGGCTGTTTCCAGTTGAATGCTTTCTGTCACATCAGAGGGACATGAGGGACGCCTGGGTCGCTGGGGGACAGCATCAACAGTGGCTCTGTGCAGCCCTCCTGTCCCGCTCTGGGGGCATGGTAGTGGCTTGGAGGGCTTGGAGTGCCAGGATCTGATAAACAGTCTGGTGACAGAGGTCATTGCAGTGGCCGGATGCTGGCCATTCAGAGAGATGGCACTCCAACTCAGGTGTCCCTGTGCCTGGCTGCTGGCCACTGTGAGCCCCTTCCTACCAGACGCAGCATCAGGGTCCAACATAGCTTCACCCAGCAGCTTTGCCCTGTCTCCTAGGGGGGCTTTGAACCCAGCTGTGGACCTTGGTCCCAGCTGATTCCCAGTAACAGCCCTTTGTCGTTAACACTGGAGCCCAGGAGATGAGAGAGCCCAGGGCTGGCCTCGCACCTCTGTACTGGATCAGACCCGAGGGACGTTGGTGGTGATGTGGGGTAGGTATGAGAGGGACAGATCCTGGAGGGAACTGGGCTCTCGGTTGCCAACTGGCTGTTGAGCATACTCCTGGCCCGAGGGAGCCTCGGGGGGTGTGAGGAGGAGACACATGACGAGAGCACTTGGTGACTCACGTGAAGACAGTAGGACTGGGTGCCGCAGTGGTAGCGGCTTGACGGAGCACCTATGGCCAGCGTGGTCAGAGCAGGCCTCTCTCAGACCTGCATGAGGTTGTGGAGGGAGCCATGTGACGTGCTGGAGTGGGGACAGCAAGTGTAGTGGCCCTGTGTTGGCAGGAGTTTGGCACTGAAGAAGGGAGGGGAGGCCGGAGTGGCTGGACCATTGAGGTGGGGAGATGAGACCCAACAGTGGGTGGGGCCCAGGATTCTAGGAACTGTGGCAGCTTCCATGTCCCCTCCAGCCACCCTTCCACTCTGTATTTGAGCTCTTTGTCATCCACCTTGCATGAGAACTGCCATGTTTCAGATGTTGGCCCCTTGGAGGGATTGGGGATGGGAGACAGTCTCCGGTCAGCTCTCTGGGACCAGTCACCCTGGGGGAGGGAGGGCCAGACCAGCAGATGCTGAGAACTGTCCCTGATTCTGATAGGATCTCCTGTGTGGGGTAGAGACAGCGCCCAGGTGGGGCTGTCCCTGAAGCCCTGATAAGATCCAGTTGGCCATGGGTGGGGAGCCCAGGGAGGCAGGCACCTCTCCTGCTCAGTCATTGGCTGCCAGCACAGAGAGGAGCGAGTAGCGTTTGTTCTGGTCCCACAGCCTCTAGGCAGAATCCAGGTGCCCGGTGCCTGGAGGGCGTGCTTAGAGCTCTGCTTTACTGAGCAGGTGGGCAGAGGGTTCGCTGGCCCTCACTGGGTACTACGCATAGCCCTCTGCAGTTCCTGGGAGCCCTGCTCTTCGCAGGGAGGGGGTATTTCTAAATCTGGCAGACTGACTTTAAGGAGCTGGTGGTCTGGCCAAGCCGCTGTGCTGATTGATGCCAGGCAGGGAGGGGCTGCTGAACACTCTGCTTAGATCCTCTGGCTTCTCAGAGCTGAGCTCACAGCCTCCGTCCAGGGGGAAGGGCCTCTGAGATGAGTGGGCTCGTCCACTCCTTGCAGTGGTCCAAGAGGTCGGAACTGTCAGTGATGAGGGAGAGGGTGGTCCCAGTGACCAGTGGAGCAGGGACTGCCTCAGCCCAGCTCCTGGCTGCGAGCCTCCTTCACCCTCTGCTTTGGGCTGCACAGGCCCCCTCTTTTGCCAGAATATCGCCTCTCTGAGGGGAGTAGCTTGCTTGTTCCTCAGGTTTCCTCGCTCATGCCCTGACCCCATAATCCCTCTTAATTTGTAGGGCCACTTGTGGCTGCTCCCTCTCTCCCTGCCTGCACAGTCCCCCCAGGCTGTTAGTCCATGCCTTGCCTGTGACAAAGCTCACCAGGGACCGAGTGTGGCCAGGAGGCCCTGCACCTCAGCGCCAGAGTGAGCCCCGAGACGCTTTGCCACCCAGGTTGTCCCACTGATTTGTTTCTGTGGGTCTGGTTTACAAGGTGGGGTCCAGACAGAAGGTAGGGCCCTGTGGGCAGGCACGACGAGGACCAGCCTGAGAGCTGGGTGGCCACAGCCATGGGAAGGGGGCTCATGGAGTGGGAAGGGGCAGGCCTTCGCTGGGCAGGTGGAAGGTGGGCTTTCAAGGCCGCTGTGAAGGAGCAGACGCGTGATGGGGAGCAACTCTTAGAAACAGTGCTGTCCTTGGAAGCTTTAAGGCAGAGTTCTGGGTCCAGAATGGCCAGGCAGGTACTCACTGCTTTGCCCAGAATATGGGACAAGGTGCCTCATGTCTTCACTTCCTCATTTAAAGTGGGTGGATTTATCCCCATTATTTTTTTTAACCATTAGGCAAATAGAGGCACAGTGAAGTTAAGCGATTTGTTCTGAATTCAAGCCCTCCGAGCTCGACCTGTGTTGGTGTGCACCGGGCCCCACGGCTGTGCCAGGCTCTGGGCCCTCTTGAATGAGCCCAGAAGTAAGTTGCGTGCTGTAGGTGTGTTGTAAGAGGGTCTTCCACGCTGGGGGCCCAGCCTGCCGTCAGCTTGTAGGGGAACTTCATTGCAAGGCAGCCTCAGAGGCAAGTGGAGAAACAGACCTCGTTTCTGACTGCCAGGGCCTAGGTGCCAGGGGGTTCTTAGAGGTCAATGCCAGGGAGGGGACCTTAGGCCTGAAGTTCCAGGAGAAAAGCAGGGCTGCTTGAAGTGTGAGGATTTTAGACCTCAGGGGCCTAGGGTAGAGGCAGGAGGGGAGCTGGGGGTGGAAGCTGGATGGGGCGTGTGCCACCCCCTCTGCTCCTCCCCTTGTTTTCTTGTGCCCACTGCAGTAGCCCCATCTGTTCCTTGTTAGACACTCAGCCGACAAGCCTCCAGGAGATTAATTAATGCCAAGCTGCTGGCAGATCCAACAGCATGCCTGCCCCAGGGCCCTATTGCAGCAGCTCAGACACCCGGCTGACCCCCAGAATGCTTCTGTCCCACCCAGTGATCCTGGAGACTCAGGGAGCCATCGTGCTGCACAGCCCTGTCCCCCCACTGTGGATGGCAGAGAAGGCTTAGGTGGTGGTGGTGGTGGCGATGGCTTCAGATACTTCACACCCAGGCCTGCCTCCCATCACCCACCCTGGCTCCTCTCATTCACGCTGACCGGGGCCCTAGATGTGCTGTGTGCTCTTAGCCATGTCCCGTCCCCTCTCTGGGCAGCTTCCTTTTCCTCATCTGTAAAGTGAGGACATTGGACTGGTCATCGCCGAGGTCCCCCTGCATCTCTGTATCCCCTCTGTCTCTGATGGCCCCGCGCTGGGCTCTTTCCCACTCCGTTCTGACTTCCCCTTAGCCCTCTCACTGTCTCCTGTCCCTGTCGGCATGTCCTCTGCTCAGGTCCCCAGGGACTGCTCCTTCTCCCTGTAATTAACTCCACCTGTGCCCAGGACTTGGCGCCCTGCCTCGCCAGCCCCCACTGGGGCCCAGGCCCTGCTCTCAAAGGCCCACCCTGGCTCCCCAGCATCGGAGCACCGGGGTGAAGTCTGCTCCCACAGTGGCCACCTCCCGCCAGCCCAGCACATTCCTCAGGCTTATCTGGGAGCCTGCTGGACTCTGCCCCACCGACCCGGAAGCAGCACCCAGAGCTGCCAAAGCAGTCAGGGTGGGGGGTGGGGTGGAGGGTGTGTGCAGGGCAGGGCCAGAGTGGACTTGGGGTGGGTGACGCTCACCTCAGCCCTGGGGCTGGAGAGAACTGTCAGGGCAGGGTGAGAGAGAGGGGTTTGAGAGTCTCTCGGAGCTGACACGGCAGATTATATTGAATGTTGGGAAGCATGGGGTTCACTCAGACCCCAGAGTCTGTGCCATCTCGTGGGACAGTCCCCTGCTTGGATGGTGCTCCCCAAAGGGCTTCTATGTATAGGAGGGGGTTTGCTTTGGGCAGGTTGCCCTAAGTCAGCCCCAAAGTTGTAGCTGGCAGGGCCCAGGGGGGTAAGGGACAGCAGCCCAGTGCCACCGCCCAGGCCTCGGGTCCATCTCCCTCCCTCCTGCCCCACCTCCATTCTAGAGCCCAGGCCAGTCCTCCCAGGAAGGGGTTAACCGCCAGGCTTGAGGGAGGGGACTGGGCTGGACCATTTTCCGCTGATGCTGCCTCCACCTCGGTTTTCCTGAATGGTTCTGCCGTCCTGGGGTGGGGAGGCAGGGAAGGAAGGAGGGCGGGTGGAGGGAGGGAGGGAGGAGGAGTGTGGGAAGAGGAAGGCAGAGAGAGAAGAGACAGCAAGGGGAAGGGGAAGATGTCACTGTCTCTCAGCTCCCTGTCATTTTTCTCTGCAGCAGGCGCCAGGCGAAGGAGCTGCTAGAACAATGCTGAGGCGGCCGAGTTGAGCGGAGCAGCCCCGGCAGAGCAGAGCGTCTGGAACAGGTGATCGAAGGAGCCGGAAACCGAGGCCACCTGGGCACCCCTCCCCTCACTCTGCCTGGCCAACCAGCCCCAGAACGGCCGGGAGCCATGGCGACCAATTTCAACGACATCGTCAAGCAAGGCTATGTGAAGATGAAGAGCAGGAAGCTTGGGGTGAGCGGCCTTCTGAGGGCCCCCCCCCGGAGAGGGACCGGTGCTGAGGACTTGGTCTGAAGGCCCGAGGCGGTGAGGTGCACTGTGCCCGCGCCCAGCCGACTGTGGGGGGTGTCACGTGTTGGTGGGTCTCGAGGCTTGTCGGCCGGTGGAGGTGGAGGTGGAGGTGGACCCCCTGGCACGTGCTGGAGCGCAGCTCTGCCTGCTGCAGCCCCCACTCCAGCCTGGTGGCATCTGAGCAGCTGGACCAGCAGTCGTGCGGGCAGCAGCCTATGGGCAGGAAGCTCCCTGGCTATTGTTGAAGTTGTTGCCCCATCGGCAGGAACTGGCTGGAAATGCTGGGTTGGATCTGCCTCTTCTCTTGTCCTTTCTCCACCCCTCACATTTCAAGTACATTAGCTCCCCCTACTTCCAGGGCTTGCATGTTACAGAAACATTCATTCATTCATTCCTTCATTTTTGGTCGTTGGCTTTAATGTTCCAGCTGTGTGCTGAGAGCAGTGGTTGATTGTGGGGGCAGGGCTGTAAGGAGTAGGATGCTGGCAGCTGTATGGTTTATGAATGAGAACTTGGGGTGGGATGCCCGCTGTGCCGGGACAGGCCGTTTCTCTTTGATTTGTCAGCTGGAAGCTCCCTGCTTGCCCACTGTTTGGTCCCAAACTGGAGGGACTTTGGAAATGAGGGTGCTGGGTGTGTACCCTCTCCCACTCTAGTAGGTTCCTGCTGGTAAAAATGGGCAGAAGCCGGGGCTCTGGGGACCCACTGACTGATCTGGGTAAGGCTCCCTCCCATCTCCATACTCAGTGGGGCTCCAGTGGCTGTTGCTTCCCCACTGGGCAGAAAGCCTTGGTGACTGAGGGAGTCCAGTCCGCATGTTCCTGCCCCTGTGCTGGAATCCTGTCCTGCCTTGATAGGGAGATGGGACAGGAGCGGGCAGGGGGATGTGAGGGGGAATGAGGAGGGAGGAGCCGGACTCTGCTTCTCTGCCGGTACCAGACAGCAGGACTGGCCTTGGAGGGGTAGGGTTCTGACCCCTCCTCCCCTCCCTGTGGCGCCTCACGGGCTGGGTCCTGTCCTGGCAGGGCCAGCAGCTCATAGCCCCTGGGGCAGGTGAGTCGGTATGAACCGTGGGCATGACTGGGGTCTTGTATTTGTAGCCGAGCAGGCAGAGAATGGGCTCTGCTGGCCCTTGCCCACCTGACTCTTCCCTTGAGGAAGATCACGCTCACTGGCTTGGAGCACAGAACAAAGGGAGGCGCCAGCCAGAGGGAGGCCACGGGGCAGGGCCCAGCTTCTAGCATCACTTCTCATCCCTCTGGCCCTGGCCTGGGCAGGTTCCAGGGTCAGCCAGGCAGAGGCTCTGTGTTGGGCAGAACCTGCTAGAAAGGCGGGGGGGCCGCTGGAGCTGCTGTGGGACTCAGTGTCAGACCTGTCCTAGGAGACCTAGGAACCTGTTTGCCGACAGGTGGGTACAGTCAAGGGTAGGAGTTGTTAGTTGAGACCAGTTTGGGGTGTCTTCCAAGGGAAGTCAGCCCTCCTTTTGCGGAACTGATACCTACTTCCCAGGGCTCAGGGGCTTGGGTCACCCTGAGGGCAGCCTGTGGAGAGGGCAGAGAGGAACCCACCCTCCTACCCTCAGGGCCTTCCTCCTCCAGCAGAGCTGATCAGAGACCTATGGGAGAGGGGATGGAGGGCTCTTGAGCGCAGTGGCTCCCTGGAGCTCAGTGTTTCCTGTAACCAGGCAACCAGGGCGCGAAGGTCCCCAGGCCTTCTGCCCCTGAGCAGCCCATCCCAGTGGGCTCTTTCTGGGTGGTCACCATTCATCCATCTCTCCATTCACTGTCTTTTAACATGGTTATAATGAATAACCATTGACCTTTTTTGAACGTGGCTACCTGGATGTGAGTGAGGGCCCTGAGAGTTAGACACAGTCTCTGCTTTAAAGAATCTCATCCATGTATCCACTCATTCATTCATGGTCCTTTAACTTGGCCATTCATTTGTTCAGCAAGCTTTGTGAAGGCGATGACATGAATGTCAGGATTCAGAGACTTAGATGTCGTTTGTCCTAAAGAAGCTCCTCAATTGACCGCTGAGGCCTGCTGTAGTTCAGCAGAAGAGGCAGAGGGGCAGGACCATGGTTATGGTCAGACATGTTCTTAGGGTCCAAGAAAGTAGTCAGAAATGGCCTCACCCAGTGGCTTCTTGGGATAGAGACGGCGGTGACCGTACCTCCTTGGGCTTGGATGAGCGCATGGCAGGCAGAACCTGACTGGGAAGGGGGCGGGGGTTTGGGGCAGTGGACCAGAGTCCCCTCTGAAGCCTTGCTCTGCACCTGCCCCTGCCTCTCTGCTGTTTGCCAGGAGAGGTGTCTTGCTCTTCAGCGAATCGAGAAGCTTCTGGGGTGGAGGCAGACTCTGCTAGGCCTTGGGGAATGTTCAGAGAGCAGTAGAACATGGCAGCCATAGATGCTGAGCTGGAAGAGGGCCTGAGGCCTGAGGGAAGGGAGCCCTGGCAGGTTTGCCCCTTTTCCTTAGAGTAGCCAGCTCTACCCTGTGTTGGCTCCTTGCTCCTCGGAAGCATCTATGACGTCACAGGACCCGGATGGTTTAAGGCGCAGGGCCACTGGCAGCAGTTGAAGTGAGCAGAGAACCATCCCATAGTAGACATCATGGTCAGGGGATGACCAGAGGTCTTGACTGCATCTCCCAACTTCCCACCTGGCCCCCCACACTCCAGGATGGCAGAATGAGGTGGCAGTGGAGGAACCCCCCTGCATGAGCTCTGAGGACAGGAGCTATGTCCCTGGTGGAGCGGGCATGCGTCTGACCCTTGCCCCTTGCCCCCTGGGCCCAGCTCATTTGTGGCTGGAACTCTGGCTGGATATTATAGAGGGGTGTATAGGGGTACATGTGTCAGCTCTGGGGCTTGGCGAGTTTTGAATGTCAGCCCCAGTATTCTAGCTAATCATTAACTTTTTGGTGCCTTAAATTCCCCGTCTATAAAATAGTGATAATAATTGCGGTCCTGTAGGGTTAATTGTGAAAGTGCTAATAGCAAAATGCAATAGGAAGCACTCAGTGTACCGTGCTCAGAATAAGTGATAACTCTGGTCACCCCGTGTGGCTTTCAAGGCCAGCCAGGAAGCAACTGCCTTTTCCATTTGAGCACGGGCCCTCTCTCCCATACGGGTCTCCCTGCTGGGGCCTGCCATCCTGGGCTTGCTGCTGGGCTGGACTCCGTGAAGGGCCGTGACCTGTCCCTGTAGCCGGGGGAACCCTGGGGCCTGCATGGCTGGCTGGGAGTGGTCTGGTTAGTCCTGATCCCACCTCCTTGCTTCTCGTCCCATAGATTTACAGGCGTTGCTGGCTGGTGTTCCGGAAATCCTCTAGCAAGGGACCCCAGCGGCTGGAGAAGTATCCAGACGAGAAGTCAGTGTGCCTCCGAGGCTGCCCCAAGGTTGGTGGCCGGGGCCCTTCCTTCCCTAGCCTCAGAGCAGAAATGACTTAGTGATCCTGGTGGCGTTGTGCTGCCAACCCAAAGGAGGGTGGTTCAAATCCACCAGCTGCTCTGAGGGATAACAAGGGGCAGTCTCTTTCCATGCAGTTTATAGCTTCTGAAAACCCTTTGGTGGGTTGGTCATGAGCTGGCTCCAACTCAGTGGCACTGGGATTTTAAGATTGGGGGTTTAAAAGCAACCTCCTGGGGGTGGTAGAGTCGTGGGGAATGCAGGATTTCTGGGGGGTGGGGGTAGGAGTGTGCACACGCCTGAAGCCCCTCTGGGTGCTGTCCCAGGTGACCGAGATCAGCAATGTCAAATGTGTCACGCGGCTCCCCAAGGAGACCAAGCGGCAAGCAGTGGCCATAATCTTCACCGATGACTCTGCGCGCACCTTCACCTGTGACTCAGGTGAGCAGCTCGGGCTGCAGGCCTCCCTTGCACCCTTGCCTGGCAAGATTTGTCCAGGGGTCGTCTGATGACGGTGGCTGGCCTTGGGCGGGGGGATGGCTGGGGGTGGCGTTTGGGAGGGGGTGCCTCTGAAGGAAGAGGCCCCAGGAGTTGAAGTGGGGTGGACAGGTGGCCCCCACTTGCTGTGCCTGCCTGCCTCGCATGGTGGGGTAACTCAGGCTGAGGCACACAGCATGAAGAGCATTATGTTTTCCAGAGCTGGAGGCAGAAGAGTGGTACAAGATACTCTCTGTGGAGTGTCTGGGGTCACGGCTCAATGACATCAGTCTTGGGGAGCCAGACCTCCTTGCCCCAGGGGTGCAGTGTGAACAGACAGGTGAGCCCTGGTACGGGAACTGGGGGTTGGGAGGGAAGGGAGGACAGAGGGAGAAGAGGGTGGTGGAGGGCTCCCTTCTGGGACGCTCCGGACCAATCTGTCCGCCCCCACACTAGACCGCTTCAATGTCTTCCTGTTACCCTGCCCTAACCTGGATGTGTACGGCGAGTGCAAGCTGCAGATCACCCACGAAAACATCTACCTCTGGGACATCCACAACCCCCGCGTGAAGCTCGTTTCGTGGCCCCTCTGCTCGCTGCGCCGCTACGGCCGGGACGCCACACGCTTCACCTTTGAGGCCGGCCGGTAGGAGCCCCACCTCCCATACCTGGTCCTTAATGCCTGTGATAGTGGCTGCCACCATTCACTGTCGTAGATAAAGTAGAATCTTAATTTAACGGCAAAGCAGTCCAAAGGGAAGTACAACGTTCCAGTCCTACAGATCCTACAAATCCATTTCTTGAGGCTTACAGAGGTTCTTGCCCACAGTGGGTCTTCAAGTTGCCTGGGCCCTGGTGCTGGCACTAACGTAGCTCTGACTGGGGGCCTGAGGCTGTTTGCCACCCAGAGGATAATAACAGTACCTGCCCTTGTGGAGCTCTGGTGGTGCTGGACAGGGAGTTGCACTGACCCGGGGGCGGGGGGGGGGGGCTTCTCCAAGGGTTCAAACCCATCAGCTGTTCTGCCGGAGGAGGATGGGCAGTCTCCTGAGCGATTTACAGCCTCTGAAAACTCGTTAGCGCGCCTACTGACTAGACAGCAATGAGTGCATCTTGTAACTGTGGTGAGGGCACATATCCATAGCTTCAATTCTGGAGCCAGCTTACCTAGATTAACCGTGCACACTTCTCCCTGTTACCTTGGGTAGGTCATGGCTAAAATGGCTTAAGAAAACGCACAGTAATGAGGAAATTTGAAGAGTCCATAGACCAGAATGCAGTGGAGGCGGCCAAGTGGCCTAATGCATAGGAAGCGTCTGGCTATCACCTGGCACAAAATTTCAGTGTAAGCCACATGCACCGCCTGACCAGGCACCCGCCACACGCGCGCAGGGTCCTCACCACCTCGCCTTCTGTGCCACCTTCCCTCCAGGATGTGCGATGCTGGGGAAGGGCTCTACACCTTCCAGACACAGGAGGGGGAGCAGATTTACCAGCGGGTCCACAGTGCCACCCTGGCCATCGCCGAGCAGCACAAGCGGGTCCTGCTTGAAATGGAGAAGAATGTGCGGGTGAGGCAGTGGGCATCTCAGTCCGGGTACAGGGGAGGCCAGGCCGTTAGACGGACTGCTGCGTTCTGACATGTGCACAGTTGGGGTCTCAGGCTTGTTGCTCTGGGGAGAGCCACTGCACCCACCCTTGGCTCATGGGAAGGACCCATTCTCTGCCTGCAGCTGCTGAACAAAGGCACAGAGCACTATTCGTACCCCTGCACACCTACCACCATGCTGCCCCGCAGTGCATACTGGCACCACATCACGGGTTCCCAGAACATTGCTGAGGCCTCCAGCTTCGTAGGTGAGTTGCGGGTGTGCCCCACGCACCGCAGAGGATGTGGGCTAAGGGTCTTCCCATCCAGATCCACATCCGGGCCTACCTTGTGTCCACAGGTGAGGGGTATGGAGCAGCCCAGGCCAGCTCAGAAACAGACCTCCTCAACAGATTCATCCTGCTGCAGCCCAAACCGGGCCAGGACGACAGCTGTGAGCCCAAGACTCCGTCCCAGTGACAGCGAGGCTGCACGCCGGTGACTGCTGGCGCTGCCTGCTGCAGGCTGCTTGCGATGACCATGGACAGCCTCAAAGGGCCACTGACCAAGAGCCTGGAAAAGGAGCAGCTGTCCCTTCCTTGCCCCCGAGGGTGAGGCTGGATAAGGCACAGGGCTGGCCACACACCACCTGAGCAGCTGGAGCTAGCAGGAGACTGACTGTATACTGTTCTTGATTTTAATATATATGGCTTATAATGTATTCTATATTATTGAGACTCCCCCTCCTTCCCCACGACCATATACACATTTTTAATCCCATGACGGGGCCATGGTCAAAGTTGGTTTTGCGTGTAAGAGCGGCTGTCCTCTTGCTGCCATGGCCAGAGGTGGACAATCAGACCAGGAACTGGCACTTGGACTGTGGTCTTTCCCCCAGGTGGCTTCTTCGATCCCCTTGGGCCTAGAGAGGCACTGGAGGCCTGCCGTGCCCTCCGTGCCACTGGGCAGCTTTGCACTTGGTGTTTTAAGCAGATGTGACATCTGGTTGACGTCTCAGGTGAAAATCTGGTTTTAAAATGTCATTTCTACCCAGGCTCCTTGCTGTCTGGTGGGCTCAGATGCCCTGGAGGTGGGGTGCTGGTTACCTCTGCCAGGTGGAGGATGGGAGGGTGGCCAGTTCTGAGCTGTCTCCTGTCCCAGGGGCCGGCCAGATGGGAAGGCTGGCATGACCACTGAGACAGGGGAGGCCGTGCTGCCCTGCTCACTGATTGAGGGGGTCTCTCACCCGGTCCTGGCCACCCCACAGCTAGCAAAAAGCACTCAAGAAATCCAGGCTTCCCTTCCTTCCCAGATGGTGCTGAGGGTCCCTGATGAAATGCAATTAAAGCAATTGATTTTCTAGTGCTGGTATTTATTGACTACCACGCAGAAGGGCTATCTTTCTATTCCCATCGAACCTTTGGTTGTGTTTTTTTTTGTTGTTGTTTTTAAAATCTTCTAGGGTTCTGATTTGTGGGAATAGACCTTCTTGTAAATAACCACTACCTGAGCTGTGGCAGGACGATGGAGCAGGCAGCCGCCTCCCAAACTCTGAAGGCGAGGAGGTGGCTGAAGCCAGTGCACTGTGGCCGCAGCCCAGGGAGTGACCACCTGAGGAATAAACTAGCCTGAGGAGGCAGCTTCGGAGAGGGGGTTAGAAGTGGCTGTCTCAGCTGGTGGCATGATGACGCATGAAGGAGATTATGTTGTGCTCTTTATTGCCAAAAATAAAACCTTTTAAAAAGAACTACTGTTAATCAATAAATATTCCTTTCTGTATCGCACCACTGGCAGCCTAATGAACGGTTCTGGGGATGTTGCTACCTGAGACAGTGCTAAGGGGTCAGGGCCAGAGACTGTCATCAGGAAATGAGGGTGGGAGAGCATCGTGGCCGCCTCCTAACTCAATCATTGGGGTGCTGGTGTGTGTGGGGGGGGAAACGATGTTGCTAGCTGATGGGAAATGAATGAAATGATGGGGTATTGGGGCGGCCAGTCCCGGGAAAGGGGCTGGAAGGATTTCGAAGCAGCCTGATTGACGGTTTTAGCACTCAACCCTCAGGTACAGCTCTGAAATTTCAGACAGGCTTTCCAGTAAAGAATAATGACCGAGAGAGTAAGCAAAGTCCAGGGCAGTGTTTCTCAACAGGGAAGTGGTACAGCACCTGGGGCACATTAGGAAATGAAGTGGAAAGGAGGGAAGGTCTGCTTTCGGGGTGGCACTCCCGTGACCAGGATGCTAGCTATCTATGACGCGACGTCCTATCTCAAACAGAAACAGCATCCCTGGGCATCAGGAGAGGTCAGGAAAGGCCAGGCTGGTGCACCTTTCTCCTTACTCGTGGCCTGCCAAGAAGCTGGCACAGCAACAGTCCACGAGTCCCTCAGAAGAGCCCTGAAGTCCAGCTAGCTGCGGCTAGTTGATGGTCAGGACGTCGCTCTGGATCTCATGGCTTAACTGGGTCTGTAAGTCACTCAGCTTCTTCTTCAGTCCCGACAGGGCGGAGAGAACAATGGTTTCTGGGCGCAGAGAGCCACAGGACTCCACGTTGTAGTAAAACCTACGAGGTGAGAGCTCGGTCAGAGCACCGTGGGCCACCGATCCCCCCTTCCTCTGGGTCTTGACTCTGTCCATTGGGGACATGGCCACGCCCCACAGCTGACCTTCCTTCACCCAAAATCTTTACACACAGGGCTTCAAAGAGTCTGCAGATGCCTAATAGGATATTGTGAAAAGTAAAAAATATCCTCAAAGCACATGTTCCACACTGAAGGAAAAGTGGTAGTGCTCGTGCCACGTCATGTGCTTCTGATGGCAGCCTCCACCTTGACCTTAGACCTCAAGTCCCCTGCGTTGGTGGTCTAAATGTCTGGAACAAATTCTGGGGGAGTAACTGGAGCTCCCCTGCCTTTCTCAGAGGTGCCCAGAGGGGGGTTGATGAACTGCCCCAGAATATATGCACATCATGGCTTCAGAAGGCAATGTCTCTTCACACCCAAGCCCGGCGTCCTTAAGCCCTTCACCTTTAATGATCATACCGGGGTCTTACCTCTCTGGCTTGCCATTGGGGTCATAGGGAGCCTGGGACTCATCTTCATCCAGCTCAGAGTATTCACTCTTTGGCCTAAAGTCAAAATACAGGTCAGTTACAGGGTTGCTGCTGCTGCTGCTTTCAAGGGCCCAGGACCCGCCCCATGTCAGTTACCAGCAGACACTGCCACTGCCACCACCTCCTCCTGAGAACATACCATTCCTCTGGCTTGGGGTACACTGTGTGCCTCAGGGCATTATCTGGATCATATTCAAAAGCCACCCCTGCGGTCGGGTTCCACTTGGCATGTTCCTTGCCGAAGCCCTTTTTGGCATAGGCGCGCAGTCTCAGCTCCTGCCCCTTTCTGAGTTTGACAATAAGGATGTCTGTAAGGAGAGGCCTGAGTCACTGAAGAGCTGAGAGGCCCTGGCCCCCCACATGTTGGCCTGGTACATCCCTCCAAGGCCACACACATCTGGGGAACCTGTTTAAAGCTGGTTTACGAGTCTAGTTGACACACTCGCTCCAGCCTCTTACCGTCCTGCTCCACATAGTCATTGGGGTCATTGTCTCGATTCCGGGATGTGACCTGTCAGGAGCCCAAAAAAGCAGCGAGAATTAACTGCACAATCTCTCTGGTCACCTGCCATTTGGCCATGCTGGAAGAAGGTTGCCAATCTGGAAACTAGGGAATGCTGGCTGGGTTAGACGTCCAACCTCCTTCACAGCATTCTGTTAGTCTCAATGAAAATCATCCCAGGTCCCTGGGTGACAGGGTCTACAGTGCCAACCAGTGCTTTCCCCCAACCAGGTGGGAAGCCAGAATCAGTGCCACCATTAGCTATCAGGTTTAGGCAGAGGGTAACATAGGCAAAGCCAGCATTTTACATGCACGCCTCCCAGCCTTGCCCACTTGGAGCCAGCCAGCAAAGGTCCCAGGCAGGGCGGATGCTCTGAAACACTGACCGGAATGACCCGGGGGCTGTTGGAAATGAGGTCTCGGGATGTGACGTGCCGAGTCTGATCTTCATTGCACCGCACGTCAAGGGTGAACTCCACTGAGCACTCAGGGCAGAACTCTTCACATATGCAGTCCTGGAGAAACACGAGAGGATGAAAGGCCTGGGTTGGGACCCTGCTCCTGATACCCAGGCTCTTCAATGTCCTCACCGGCAAAAAGGGGTTGATTACAGTTTTAGGGCACCTGAGGGGCTTGTCAGTCTGAAACACTGGACCCATGAGCTGCTCGAGTACCGGCACTGTTTAGAGAAAGCCTCCATCCAGCGATCCTGGCATCCAGTCTTCCTTCCCACCCCAACCCCAGCAGCTGCCAGCTGCCACCAGCCCAGCTTCCTGAAGCAATCAGGCCCTCGGAGTCCTCCTCTCTAGAGAAGCAAGGGTCCGTTCAGAGCAGGACACCTTCCTATCTGAGAGCTCAACTTCCCAGAAGCCAAGTGGATAAACGTCGCAATGTAATCACATCCTTTAAAGTGGAACAAGGAACAAACGGGGCAAGGACAACTTACATTCTAGATGGTTTGGAAAACAACAACGAAAAACTTAAGAAAAAGTTCCCAAATACAACTAGAGAATAAAACTGTTACCAAGACTCAGCTTTAATCATCATCATCACCACAGTACCATTCTATACACAGCTGGTTGGAAATACTCATCCCATGTCAGAGTTTTATCTGCTGAAATTTAACCCCAGGTAAAAAAAGAGTTACTAGAATACAATCAAATTGTGAGGGGAAAAGCAACAAACCTGACATTTGAGAGGTCAGTGAGGAGGAAAACTAGAGGCTTTACCTAGATAAACCATAGTCTACCCAGATAAGGCAAGAGACACCTAAATCTGCTCCGTCTCAGCCACTGGCAGCTCTGTCCACATGCCCACCCGAGATGCCTGCCTGCCGGCCCTCACAACAGAGGGGACCCTCCTGATGGAATCATTCTCTTAGCAAGAGTGAAGATCCAAAAATCAAAATGTAACAGGAGATAAAACCAGGAAAAGGTCCTCAGGCTCACAAAGTATTTTATATACCAATATTCACTGCAGTATTACTAACAACAGGCAAAAGGTAGAAACAACTCAAATGTCCATTAAGGGATGGATGAATCCATGCAATGTGGTCTATACACACAATGGTATTCAGCCAGAAAGAGAAAGTTACAATCCATGCTACGGCATGGATGGATCTTAAAAACGTTATGCTGACTGAACAGAGTATGATCTCATGGGTCTGGAATATCTAGAAGAGGAAAACACAGCGAGACCACAGCTTACGAGCGACCACCACGGGCAGATGAGTGGACGGGAGAGCTGAAGGGAAATGAGGTGTGTGGGGTGATGACAGAGTCTGCAAACTGGCAGTGGTAATGGCTACGCCACATGGTAATCCAGGTCACTAAACTCTGCATGTAAGCAATGACTGAGGTGACAAATGCTTTGCTACATACACATATATTTTACCATAATCTTTAAAAAAGTAGTGAAGAGGAGACTTTTTGAGATGAAGAAAAACAAAAAGAGCTAGAATGGAGCTATATATAGTTATAACAAGAACTAAACTAGGCAGCAGCCCAGGCCCTCTAATACAGACACAAAGAGAACAGGTCCAGAGGATAAGCCTGGAACGCTGAGCTTCAGCGGAAATGACACAGTAGTGCAAATACTGACAGAAGAGACAGAAGGGAAACAGCACATGAGAGAGACGATGTGATGGAGTGTAAATGGCCCGACACAGCGTAGCCACTGTCAACTTGTTGCAAACATTTTCCTGACTGGGGCAGGAACTGAGGACAGTGTCCCTGACAGCACGGCCCCAGCAGTATCTGGAGGATGGCAGGAAAGGTGCGATTTCCCCTGATATTTCATGGCAGGGGCCAGTGTGATGGGTGGACGGCAGGCACCCCCCATGCCCAGTCACCAGGGGATGGGCAGTGCTCACTCTGGGTCACCCACACAGTGAGCACCACTGAGGAGCTGGGCCTGAGCACCCCCAACCCCACGGCGAGAGGACCTTGTCCTCTGCATCTTAGTGCCGGTGGAGTGTTCCCACCCTCGGGGCTGCCTTCAGCCACCCACCTTGACTGACAGAAATACTTATCTCTGACTGGAATCCCTGTTCTTGATCTTCAGAATATAGACAGAGGCGCTCTCGTGGCCTAGTGGCAAGAAGCTGCACTGTAATCCCGAAGGCATGCAGTTTGGATCCACCAACTCCACAGGAGGACTGGCCATCTCCTCCTGAGTGATTAACTACCTCTAAAAACCCACTAGAGGGTCGGTTCCAAATCAACAGTACACAACAGAATACAGAAAGAGATGTAATCGCTTGAATTCATCCTATAAAGCAAGTATAACCCTGATAGCAAAGCCAGGCAAAAGCAACACTAAAAATGAAAACAATAGACAAATCACCTTCATGAATACAGATGTAACAATGCTACCCAGCAGAATCCAACAGCAGGTTAAAAACAATAATGTGTCATGACCAAATGGAATTTAGAGCAAGTATATATGTGTGGTTCAACATTGTTGTTGTGGTTGTTGTTATGTGCCGTCGAGTTGTTTGCGACTCATAGCGACCCTATGCCCAACAGCCCTAAACCCTGCTCTATCCTGTGCCAACCGCACTGCCTCTGACACACCCATCCCGATTACCCCAGTCACCGAATCAATCCATCTCATAGAGGGCCTTCCCCTCCTGCGCTGTCCCTCCACCCTCCCAAGCATGATGTCCCTCTCCAAGGACCCGTCCCTCCTTGCAACATGCCCAAAGTATGTCAGACAAAGCCCCAGAATCCTTGCCTCCAAGGAGTAGCTTGGTTTAATCCTCTCCAAGATGAATCTGTTTGTTTTCCTGGCAGTCCATGGTACATTCAGTACCCTTCTCCAGCACCACAGCTCAAAAGCATCCACTCTCCTTCTGTCCTCCCTAGTCATTGTCCAACTCTCTGATGCCTAACAAGCAATTGCAAATACCATGGCCTGTATCAGGCGCACCTTAGTCTCCAGAGAGACACCGTTGTTCCTGAGTACTTTAGAGAGGTCCCTAACAGCAGACTTTCCCATCGCGATACACTTTTTGATTTCCTGACTGCTGGTTCCAAGAGTGTTGACTGTGGAGCCGAGCAAACTGAAGCTGTGGACAATCTCAATCTCTTCGCCATCCATCCTGAGGCTGCCAATTGGTCCAGTGGTGAGAATCTTTCTCTTCTTGACATTGAGCCTCAGTCCATACTGAAGGCTGCAGTCCTTTGACCCTTCGCAGCAAGTGCATGAGGTCCTCCTCAGTTTCAGCAAGCAGGGTTGTGTCATCTGCATAACACAGATTGTTAATAGATCTTCCACCAATCCTGATGCCACAATTCTCCTCATAGAGCCCAGCTTTTCGGATAATCTGCTCTGCATACATGTTGAAAAGGTATGGAGACAGGATGCATCCCTGGCGTACACCCTTCCCAATTTTGAACCATGCAGTGTTACCCTGCTCTGTTCTGACTACTGCCTCTTGGTCCAAGTACAGGTTTCGCATTAGCACAATTAAATGTTCTGGGATTCCCATTCTTCTCAGAGTCAGCCACAGTTTGTTATGATCCACACAGTCAAATGCCTTTGCATACTCAATGAAACAAAGATAGACATTCTTAGAAAACCAATTAATACAATCCACCTCATAAATAAAACAAAGCAAAAGGAACACATGATCATCTTGATGCAGAAAAGGCATGTGGCAAAATTCAACACCCATTCCTGACAAAATAGGAGAAGAGACATTCTTGACCATAATTACGAGCACACAAAACAGCCCAGAGCAGTCCCAACACAGAGAGATTGAAAGCTCTCCCTTGTAAATGGGAACAGCACAAGCACACCTTCTACCCTCGTTCCTCCCCAGAACTGTACTGGAGGGCCTCGCCAGAGCACCAGAGAAAGAGAGGAACATTAAACCATCCAAACCAACAAAGAGGATATAAAGCTCTCTCTTTTTTGTGACTGTTATGATCCATTTATAGAAAATCCCAAAGACTCAGCAAAAAAATTTCTGGGAACTAATTGAAAAATTGAGCAAAATGACAAAGTAAAAGGATCAACAGTCAGAAACCAGTCAGGTTCTTCTACAGTAACAAAGAGAACTCTGAAGAGGAAATAAAGAGAACTTTTCATTTACAATAGCCACTCAAAAGACAAAATCTTAGAAAAAAATCTAACAAGAGATATAAAAAGATCTATATTATCACCAGCAGCCAGGAAATCAAAACACAAACTGCACTGGAGAAGTCTGCTGTCAGGGACCTCTCCAAAGAACTAAAGAACACCTTAGTTTAGAGACCAAGGTGTGCTTGATGCAAGCCATGGTCTTCAAAATGATTTGTTATGCATCAGAGAGCTGGGAAATGACTAAGGATGACAGAAGAATTGATGCCTTTGAGTTGTGGTGCTAGAGAAGAGTACTTTGAACATACCGTGGATCACCAGGAGAACAAATAGGTTTGTCTTAGAGAGGGTGAAACCTAGTTCTCCTTGGAGGCTAAGATTCTGAAGATTCTCATATACTTTGGGCACGTGGCCAAGAGGGACCAGTCCTTGGAGAAGGATATCATGCTTGGAAGCTTGAAGGGACAGCACAGGAGAGGAAAACCCTGGATTAGACGGCAGACACAGTAACTAGGGAGTGGGATTTGGTGTGTCTGAGTCAGTCAGACTGGGCCAGGACAGGGCAGGTTCAGAGCCACTGTGCATAGGGTTGGTATGCGTCTCAGTCAATTCAATGGCACATAACAACAACAACATATAAAGATATAAAGGATAGGTAATCTCCCATTTGATTTACACCATCTGAAAACCTGGCTGGAGGGTCAGTTGTGGGTCTATTCCAATTCAGTAGTACACAACAATATAAAAAAAAAACACTGAAAACCACAAAACCCTACCTACAATAAAAAACAAGGGGTTGATCAGCTTACTATCTCTAAAATAAAGACTCAGAGAAGTACACAAGAAACAGTCAACAGCAATGATACAGGCAGAGACAAGCTGAACAGATGACGGTGAAAAGACAGTACTTGCGTGAATATGCATCTACACTGACACTCATATGCCCTGAATACACACGTATGTGCATACGGAGTCAGCAGGAGGGCACGGCTTTGTAAACTTCCTAGTCATGAACAATGTGATGGAATGGATTACTCCTTCTGTGGCTTTGAGAATGTAGTCTTGGAAGGATATCAGCTTCAACTAACATAACAAAGATAATGGGCTACACTTTGGTGAGTGGTCACTGGGCTCTTAAAGCTTGTAAACAGTCATCTAAGGTGCAACTACTGGTCTTTCTCTGTCCAGAACAAAGAAGAAAAGCAAAGATGTAATCAGACAGTCCAGAGGACTAAAGGAACAGGCAGACTTCAATTTCCTTCACCCTGAGACCACAGAACTCAATGGTGCACCATTACCATAGCTGAAACACTCCAGATGGAATCCCAGAAAGTCCTTGATAAACTGGGGGAAAATGTGGCACAAAACTCAAATATATTAAAAAGGCTGGGCTTGCTGGTCTGATAAGAGTCTGGAGGAACCTGTGATACGACGGCCCTTAGCACTCACTGAATGTGGACGAAATCTCATCCCCCCCATGGCGCAATTTTCAGCCAGACATTAGACAGACCTACATGCTGGTCTGTAACACCACGGGAGCACTCAATCCTTGACATAACCAGCCATTTAAGGTCAAAAGAACAGCATCTGTCCAAGGATAAAGCCAGGAAGTGGTAGGATAGATGATTAATGAAAATAAAAATTAAAGGTAGTAAGTAGGGAGAGTGTGATTATATGATAGGTATTATAATTAATGTTATAAAACAAAATATATATGAAAAATTGAATGAAAAACCAAACTGCTTTGTAAACTTTCACTCAAATTATAAAAAACTATAGTAAAAAGTCCCAACATTACAAGAAACCAGAAATTATTAGATGTCATCAAATCCAGTATGACTCACAGTGACTCTCTCAAGAACACATCTGTACCCTGTCCTACTCCCTGCCATCTTCGCAATCTCCAAAACACTCAAGCTCATCGCTGTGGTCACCACCTGGTGGAGGGTCTTCTTCTTTCCCATCCCTCCACCTCTCCAAGCGTAATGTCCCCTCCCAGGAATAACCTCTCCTAGCAGCAATCCCAAAGGTATGTGATAGGATGCTTCACCATCTTTGCCTCCAAGTAGCACTCCGGCTGCACCTTCTTCTCTAAGAAATCAAAAGACACTAACATATATGGGAGAAAATACTTAGCTCAAGAAGAAGAGTTAAGGTTACTAAAAGTGACTTACAGTTACAATGAAATCCTAATCTAGATCCCATCTCATTCTTCAAAAGAGATGGAGAGACTAAGCACCAATTTATACAGAAAGGAAAGAGATTGTGGATAAGCAAAGCACTGCTGAAGAAAAAAGGGTGGGAGGTCTTACATGGCCACCAGAGTCAGAAGAGCCTGGTACAGGTGGAAAGACAAAGACCAATAGAACTGAGAACCCTGAGTGAATCCACCCACTTATGGACCTTCATCTTTGACAATGGAGCTGAAATTCATCAAGTGAGGAAAAGATACCTTTGTAACAAATGGTACTGGCAAACTAGCTATCTACAGAAAATTAAAACTAGTATTTCATTGTTGTTGTTGTTATGTACCGTTGAATTGCCTGCGACTCATAGTGATCCTATGTACAACAGCCCTAAACTCCGCCCTATCCTGTGCCAATCTCACCATCTCCAACACACCTCCCCTGTTATTACCCCAGTCACTGAATCAATCCATCTCATCGAGGGTCTTCCTCTCCTGAGCTGTCCCTCCACCCTCCCAAGCATGATGTCCCTCTCCAAGGACTGGTCCCTCCTTGCAACATATCCAAAGTATGTTAGACGAAGCTTCAGAATCCTTGCCTCCAAGGAGCAGCCCAGCTTCACCCTCTCCAGACAAACCTGTTCGTTTTCCTAGCATTCCATAGTATATTCAATACTCTTCTCCAACACCACAGCTCAAAGGCATCAATTCTCCTTCTATCATCCAGCTCTCGATGCATAGCAAGTGACTGCAAAGATCATTCACTCCTTAGAATTACCAAAACAAAATTTAATTACATAAGATCAAAAAGGTAACATCTGCCTAGAAAGCTCAGAAGGCAGGAAGGAAAATGAGAAACACAGGTTACAAGTCAGGAGAGTGTGATTACATTGTGAGTATTTTAATAAAACAAAGTATGTTTGAATGGTCAAATGGAAAACCAATTTGCTTCATAAAACATCAATCACAATGACACAAAAAACAAACAGGGGGGGAAAAGAAATTCGAGACCTGATCAAGTCTGTAGGACTAGTCAAAGAATTAAACAGGTGAGAGGTATTAGCCAATTTACTAGGCTTCTTTTACTCATTTACTGCCCAAATGAGGAATGAGAAGAGTCCAAAGTACAGTGTTATCTATGGCAAGACAGCTGGGTTGTAAGCCTTCAACTGTACATATGTAACACTGCAGAATGATCTGAAGAACAATCTTTCTCACTGTGAGATAACAAATAGCCAAGAACTTAAGATTCTGAAATTCTCATTTTCATTAATCCTAAATTAAGGGATCTGGGGTCTTCACGTTGTTTACATCATGCCCACACCAATACCCCATAGAAAGTAGAAAATTACAAAATGGTCTGGGGTTCTCACTCAATTGGTAAACAGGGAAAACAGAATCAAAATAGTTACACAAAATAAATCTCTGAAAAATGAAACAATGTGGCAAAATATGAACTGGCAGCTAATGGTTAAAAAGTAAATGATGCTTATAATTTTTTAAACTTTATTGTGAGTTTAATTTTCAGAAAAAGTGAAAAAGGAACATACATCATCTTTGTCTGATAAATACTAAAAAAAGAGAGAAGGAATTGCGAGGTCAGAGAATTTACAGAAAATACTGCCAAACTCTCTGTAACTGGCTATCTAACCATCCCCACCAACACCTGTGATATTTATAAAACATTTTTTTTTTAAATCTGGAGACGTGAAGCAAATATAGAAAAATGTTAGATGGAATCACGTTTGCCTCCTACTTTTCTGTGTGCCTTTTCCTTTAAAAGATAAATGGCATGAAAAGCGGAGTATGAACAGATCAGATTGAAAAGGTACAGCAGCTACTGTTCAATCTAAATGACCATTCTAGAGTCATTTCCTTCTCTGCAGCTGGCTGATGTCTCCTGCCTGCACCTAATTAATTGGAGACCTCATCAAAATTGAGGATCACAACCAATCCCAGGTACTAGACAGAATCTCAACTTTGTCTTTCTAAACTACAAACCGGTACAAGCTGGAAGCAAAGATGCTGCAGCAATGATTACTCTGAGAAGCAGGGGCACCCCCTCCCCACCACAATCCACCCGATTAGGCAACATACCCGGGAGTACTGCAGCTTGTCCACAATGTCATCACTAATAAGAGGGATTAATCCTGTAAGACACAAAAGCATTTTAAATAAGGTCAACAATCAAGCTCAAAGAACCTACAATGCCCCCTGGAGGTGATGTGGAGAAGGGAGGCTTCCTTCCCTGAGATTGGCAGGGCCCCCAAATTCAGCACGTACCAAGTCTGTGAGCAATGAACTCATCGTGAAGGACTGAGGAGTTGGCGTCAATCTGTACCCAGTCGATGGCTAAAACAGGAGGAAGCAGAGATATAGTTTAGTCACCAAATTCATCTAACGTCTTAGAGCAGTGGTTTGAGAGACCTAGGAATCGGATTAAGCCATAGATGAAGGGGTTCTGTTATTAGTAAGAGAATGTCGTGTGTGTGTGTGTGTGTGTGTGTGTGTGTGTGTGTGTGTACCATGTTTCTCTGAAGGGGTTCTGTTATTAGTAAGAGAATGTCAAGTGTGTGTGTGTGTGTGTGTGTGTGTGTGTGTGTGTGTGTGTATACCATGTTTCTCTGAGCAGAATATTTCCAGGAGAACCACTTAAGTCCATGAACACAAAATCCAAGAAAATGGCTATGTGAAATGCCAAATCTATGGCCTTTATCTCATTTTATTATGTAATGACCAGATCACTTAATTTAGTACTCCATTACCATTCAATTCACTGATGTTTATTGAATTCTTTTTCTAGGCAAGGCAAACTAAGCAAAAATCTAATCTCTACTAGCAGTCACCTAGTAGGAGCGGGAAGGACTGTATAAATTTTCACACCCACTCGACTTAAAACACATATGGACTCCTACATAATCACACTTTACCAGTTAAAACTGGAAGTCAAATGTCAAACACCTCTGACACTTGGAGGTCCAGAGAGGCAAGACACAGACCCCCTCAATCAGCTTCATTCTTGGAGGCTTTCTACTACTTCCCCAAGCCAAAGTAATCCAATCCAGTCACTGACTCACTTAAGTTCCATGGCCTTCTGCCTCTCTACTCCCTCCGCCTGCACTCCCATCCCTTTAATCTCTGATACTTCCACACCAAGCCCTGCTTGATTTCCATGATACAAACACAATCACTTCCTTTCTCAGAGCTCCTCTCTCACCAAACCGTCTGGACTTCCCTTAAGACATCTGGCACGTTACGCCTAATCTTTTATTTGCAATTCCTTGAGGGAGGGTCTTGAAATTTCTTTATATTCCCAGCTGAGGCCTGGACTTCCACAATTCCTCAGTATTACATGGACAATCATGGACAAAGTGTCATTTAGACACAGAACGTACGTTAGGGCTGTATCATAAAGTTCAACTCCCTCATTTAACTCTTGTTGCCAAAAGACATGGAGTGATTAAGCAGAGAGAGGACCAGATTTCAAATTCTGACTTGAAGAGGTGATGGAGGGGCAGCAGATAAGCAACAGTATTTTCCTAGGCCTGTTTATTTCCCTAAACCACTCAATACATATCTGCGACTTGTATTTCTTTTGTTATAACTCAAGTTCAATTCTTATTTATAATATACTTGTTAATATGTAAAATAGCTAAAGAAGCATGGCTGGATCCAGACAAGAAATAGTCTCCTTATCACCTCACTTTCAAGGGCTTTTAAGCATTGGAACAATGTTTCTCTTTAACTACTAAAGTCTACTTGTATTAGTGTAATCTGTGAATTCATTTCTGGTCCAGGCTGTGAGCCCGACGTGCCAAAATCCAAACAGCAACCCTGCCAAGTTTGCAAGACTGGAAATGTTTATGGAAGCAGACTGTCAAATCTTTCTCTCAAGGCACAGTACGGTGGGTTTGAATGGCTAACCTTTCAAGTAGCAGCAAGGTGTTTAACCACTGTGCCATCAGGGCGCCTCTCTCTGAGACAGACATATCGTTTTGCACCAGTTTCTACTCTCAGCATTTAACCTGGCACTTATGTGCACCATAAGCGCCAGTGAAGAGTAACACACACAAAACACGCATCTACTAGGATTGAGCACTCACTACATGCAGGGCAGTTAATACAGATCAGCTCACTTAATCCTAAATATTACTCTGAAAAGCATTATTACAAACGAGGAAAACCTGCAACATACATGCCAAGTTAATGAATTTGTCCCCTGAAAGTCCTCTGAGCCGATGCATGGACGTGTGCAGAGCCAGCGCAGTAACCAGCAGTGGCTGCCGGACCACGGATACGTGGCTTTGACAAGTAGCCAAGATTTGCAGTTTTCTCTGCAATCCATATATTCCTCATTCACACTGCCCAAAAACTGGAGGCAGGAGGAGCGGGGACGGGGTAAGGAGTGGGGTTTGACAGAAGGAGAAGCACTGGTCGCCCAGGCAATAGAGGCGGGGGTCGCTTACCTATGATGGGCACTTCAGCGATGAAGACCCTCCGAATAGAATTGGCCACCCTGAGGGATGAAAACCAAGCGAGGTGAGGGCCCCGCTCCCTTAACCGGCCGGCCCTACATCGGAGAGCTCCCCATGCCAAGCCCCTCGTCGTACTAGACGGGTAAATGCTGGAAGGAGCCACGTTCACCTCCACCCTCCCCCCCGCCCCCAGGCCCCGGCCCTATCCCGTCTTCTGCAGTCACGAGCCACCAGCTGCTTCCTCTGTGGCCTTACGCGAGGTCCGTGTTCTCGATGATAAACTTGACATTCTCGTCCGTAAGCTCCGTGATGCGCACAGTAGGTTGGTTGGCGTACGGCATTTCGCCGCTCCAGCAGTCCGACCTCTGCCGCTAGCTTCACTGCGCCGCCGCAGGAAGTCAGCCGCGACACTCCCACCCCGCCACTTCCGTTTCCGCCTTGGCAGAGACGTGCTCAGCGCGCCCCCCTGCGGCTTGGAGGTCTGGGCCGGCCGGCGAGTTGGTTCATCACTGGCGGTTTTGTAAAAGCAACTTGCCCAGTGGCCTGAGGCATTTGCAAACTACTCAAGGGGCTGCCATGAGTAGAACTGGATACAAAGTTTTGAAGGGTTGAAATGTACCAGGTTTCAACTCGGAAAATATTCTGGTAACAAAAATGTCATTTACCATTTGACTCAGCAGTCACACTTCTAAAAATCATCCTGCAGAAATATTTGAAAGACTGATACCTGGTTAACTAGCCAGATGTCTTTTCCAAGACATCCCTTGGAAAATTCATCTAGGGAAACCTTAGAAGGAATGAAGCAAATTGGTAAGCTCTGTAAGATTATCCTTTGGCAAAGACTATGGAATCGCTCAAATCCATGCCTTTGAATTGTGGGGCTGATGAAGAAGACTATTAATAATCTATTATCATGGATTGCCAAGAAAGCAAACAAATCTATCTTGGCAAAATTACAGCCAGAATATTCCTTGGAGGTAAGGTTGGGGAGACTTCACCTCACGGGACCAGGGCGGGCCTAGAAAAGGGTCAGCTGCTTGTCAAAGTACACAGTCAGTGAAACGGGAAACTCTCAATGAGATGGACACAGCGACGGTAACCATGGGAAATTCGGAATAGCTACTACTTAACAGAGAAGAAAAGAATGACAGGTGTAGAAAAAGACCCTCTGGAAGGCCCAGGAGATCTAAAACCAACATCATGACTTCCTCGTCAAAACTCAGTTGACTTAAGGAGAAGAGAACAAAGCAGGGCCTCACTGACCAGCCTTGCAAAGGGAGCCCGGGCAGTGCAGAGACAGAGAACACGATGAAAGCTACAGACGCCTCATCGAAATGGCTAGCCGTGGCTCAGTGCGCAGACAGGAGCAGGTAAGGAACCCCACAGTCGGGGAGGGCTCCTGGCACATTTTTCTGATGGGGAGACGCAGATGAGATAGATGAGATGCAGAGTTGCTGTGATCACCCCCGCAGGTGACGATGTGGCGTGATCACAGTGCAGCCTCCCAGTCTCAAGCCTTTTCCACAATCATGCTGCTGCCATTATCCCCGTGGCTTATATAAAAACTAACTACACAACAGGAAATTGCTTCAAATATATTTATTGTTGTTTTTACAGATGCTAAATTGACTAATAATCCTGTAATGCAAATTGGTGTAATCCAACACCAGGCCTGGGATCACATCATGGGTCAAGAGCACCACTGCCCAGAAGGCAACAGTCTCAGATAAGGCAGCCCTCTGAGTGTTCCCAGGAGTTTGCATTGCAGGCCATTAGAGAAAAGAAGAGCTGAAAGGAACACCCCTGCAAGCAACTGAGGATGAACTGCCATCTTGTGGTGGTTTCAGACCTTGACGTGGGCTTGGGAGCCCCAGAGAGCATCTCTAGTAGGATCAAGATATCAAGGTTCCAATGGGACCCCAATGGGAACGTGCGGTGCTTCCGTGGCGTGAATGCTTGGACGAGTCCCAGTTTTTCAATCACACATCTGCAATGCGGAAAGGCATCAGGAAGTCTGGCCTGACATTAGAATCTGAAGAGGTGGCTCGATCTTAGGTGAGACCGGAAACCAAGTGTCCTGTGGCTTCCAAGTGGCTGTGAGAGGGACACAGGAGTCTTACAGTGTGTTCACATGAACATCCTGTATGTGGATGGCACATCTTATTTTCAAAGCCCTTTTAAATATAGCTCCTGGTCTTCCTCTGGGCACTCAGGCTGACACCCCTTCCTTTTCACCGGCGCTGGTTTAAGCCTGTCAAGTTCTTGAGCTGACACAAGAATAGAAACAGAGAGAGTGATGAGACCTTGTAGGAACCCAATGAGGAAAATGAGGATTTTCAAGGTGGTAGGCATAGGTATGATACAGAGTGCTGACAGACCAGAGCCCTGGGAAATGATCATTTTCCTTGCTGCCCCGTAAAACACAAAGAGATAGGGCATTTGGGACCAAGAAGCTGGGCAGCTGAACTACTACTGTCTTATGACTAGCTTTCTAGGTTAAGCGCATAAAACCCTATGCTGTTTTCAGCATCACATGTTTTTAAGTATCAAGTGTGCCTCCTAAGTATCGCAGGGTTGGGTCAGGTGGGCGTGAGAGAGGGTGAGCTGCTGATACTCACTGTCACCGCTGCACCCATGAGTCCTTGCACCAGGGCCTCTCCAGTAGACTTGACCTAGAAGAGGCAGAGTCAGGTTCTCTTAAGTCCTAACCCAAGTTCAAAGGAGGGGCAGGTAGGGTGAATGGCATCTACGAGCCACAACAGATGGGGTCAAGAGGGCCCTGGGTACGGAAAGAGTCATCTAAGGCTAACACAATGGTGATATGAGGAAGAAGCACTGGTGAGCTCCCAGGGAAGTCCCTCAGAACCACCAACTAAGGCTAGAAAGGAGCAAAAGAACAGATAGGTGACCAGCTGTGGCCTTAGGAAGACGGGTCCACCTCCTCAGGAAACCGCCCTACGGGCCAGCCCCAAACTACCTGCTTAGCAGTGTGGCCCATGTTCATCGCATCCTGAATCCGGTTTTCCAGGAAGTGCCAAGTGTCCTTGAAGTCTGGGGAGGAGTCCTGCATCATGACCAGCTCTGTGGTGTTGTAGATGCCGGCCAGCACAGCTCGACGGGTGTACCAGTTAAACTGCAAGAAAACCACCAGGGAGAGGGGAGGAACTGAGGAGCATTTTCCTCCAAGGCCACAGACACTCACGAGCCCCCTCCTCCCTGCTCCTTTCCCTTGCAGACACATAGGGTCCCCCCGGACAACATGAGCTGGACTATCCTTCTCTAACCTACTGGACAAAATGGGAGGAAATGAAAAGGCAAGTCAAATGCAAAGCTGCCAAGCGTATCCTCTGGGTGTTTCAGGTCTGAGATAAGGCTGGGACTTGGTTGTTCAGGAAGGCTCATAGGTTATCTCGCTACATGAAGCTCCCCTGGTATGCTGGGTAGATGGCCACAGCTCTGAAAGGGGAAGGCTCTGGAATCGGCTCCCTCTGACCAAACCTTGGCACACTCATCAGTAAGGTGCTAACTGGGTCAGCCCCTTCACGGGTCAGAATGCCTGGGGAGAATTGAGGGGTTCAAATCCCTTGACAACTTTGGGCTGCACTGGTAAAATGACTTTAAAGCACCAGCTCGGCTGCAGTGGTGTTTTATTCCTTTAATTTGTTTTCTAATTGCATTTTCCTGAGATCTCAGCTGGTGGTTGACTCCCACCAGGGTCAAGTTTATTAAAGCACTTTGTTACAACTATGGTGGGAGGATCTCAAACACTTGGTCTTCACCACAACATGAGTTCTCCCACCCCTCGTCTCCTAGATCCCACAATGCACCATCACACAATCATTTCTTTTATGAAGGAATATATTTCATTTCTTCATTTCCTCCAAGAAAGATAACAGAATTAACAAGTCATTATTTTTTCTGGTGTCTGTTTGAAAGAACCCACTGATCCATTAGCAAAGTAGGGTTAGGAGGAAGGAAGTTTCTTTTTAAGGAAAAGGGTGTTTTTGTGGCATCACCTTTTTAAAATCTGCGTTAGCAAAGACACCTAGGGAGAAGTTCTGCTGCAGAATCTTAGGTGTGAGGGCAGAAGTGGTTGTGAAGAGGCAGCCCAATCACAAATTGTTCTGAGTCCTGTGGCACCACTGTCGGCTAGAAAGACTGATCAGTGACTTGTGGCTAGAATGCTGGTCTCCGAACTCGACTTTGACTGAGAGACCTTGCCTCCTTTCAAAAATGGAAATGATGCTGCAGCCCCCCGGAAGGGACTTATCGTCTGTAAAATTCACGAGTTTCCTGAAGGAATGCTCAGCTCAGGGCAGAGTAAGGACTTCTGTAACCTAAGGCTCTCCGAATAGAGAAGGCACTCACATCTGTGGACTGGTCCCCAGCGTAATGCCACATGTCGTCCACCATGCTTGTGAGCAGGTTCAGGCTGGGCGGGATGTTGTGAGGAAGCAGGAGGATGCTGAGTGCCTGTGAAGAGAATGACAGGAGAACAGGTACTGCACACAGGTAGCCAGAGAGCACACATGGCGGGTGGGTCACCTCCTTACAGAGGAGTCTGTCCGGTTTCTGTTCTCTGAGCCCACCATCTCCACCCACTGACACAAGCTCTTGACAACTAACAACAATGGCTACAGCTGATGGGCATCAGGGGCAGGTGCCTGCCCTAACCTGGCCCAATCGGACTCTCTATCCTTGGCATTTGGAAATAGGACTGTGGTACTGAGAGTGAAGACGAGGGAGGGACTAAATTCTGTATCAGAAACAAACAAGAAACAAGCAGAGATAGGAGGGGACTCTGGGCTTTTCCAAGTTCAAATTCTAGGCTGCCCTTCAAGCTCTCAACATTGCTGCCCTTGATGTACCACTACAATTCCATGATAAATTCTTCTCCTTTTTAATGCTAAGTGAGCTCAAGTTGATTTGTTATCTGTAACCAAAACATCTTTGACTAATATAAGTGATGGCACTGCCCAGAGATCCCTAGCGGACACCAGCTCCTCCTGACCCAACAGTGCAACATCTTTCCAGGTTTACTAACTCTAAAACCCACAGACCATGCCTGTTGGTCTGAAAGTTGGTCAGAAAGGTCGTGGCACTTTCTCTGCGAAGTAGCCCAAAAACAAATGCCATGTTGAGTCAAAAAAGCTGATCAGGCCCTAATTCCTGTATTCTCATTGCTTCAATAGCAAGGTGAATTACTGAGAGAATGAGTTTAGGCCAGGGCTGAAAATCAAGTGAGGCAAGCAGAGGCGCAGGTCAGGACCAGTTCTTGGCTGGACTTCTCGGACAACCTGCATGGCATTAGGTGCACAGAGGTGTTCTGATTTCTGTCAGCTGACTGACTGGCACTGCAAATTTATAGATTCTCTCCATTTTCCCACTACAGGAAAGTCGGAAGATCTCTGAGTGTCTCCTATTTCCGAGGTGCTTTGCCTTCACACTTTCTGAACTGAGAAAATGGCCCAGCCACTAGAAACAGTCTTTGCTGCTAATACTGCTGCTCTGGGGCCTGGGTTAAGACTCTGTACCCGAGGCCAGTGTTCAATGTACGGGATCAGCATTCTCAGTCTGGTTTCCACTGCATCCCTCAGGAACTGATCTGTCTTCCTCTTCCTGGAAGAGGGAAAAGAAAAGAGTGTGTCTCTTGGTCAAGCGTATGAGCTCCGTTCTCCCAGCACTTACTCAGCCCTCGGTGGAGATCCCAGCAGTGATGAAGGGTGTCTGACTACAGTCGTTAGAGACAGGGGCAGGGATGGGATGGGGGCCTGGCTTCAATCTCATCAAAGCAGCAGGGCTGTTCAATGCTACTCTCTTCAGGCTCTGCCTCCTGGGGACCTGGGCCCCCAATTCTTAGCTGCCACTCTAAGTAATAACATCACAGAACTCACTCTGCCTGGCCCAGCTGCACCAGCTTCTGCTCCTCTTCCAGCGCGCGGGTGAGCCGAGCATTGCACTGGGTCACAAAGTGCAGGATCAGCTCACTGCCATCATTCCCAAACATGCTGGCTGCCGCGCTGGAGAGACCCAGAGACTACGGAAGGAGAGAGGAAACAAACAAGCGGTGAGCAAGTGCAGTGGGCATCGGGTGCCCATTCACCACCGTGCCCTCCTCTTCCGGATCCAGGCTGGGGGAGCCGGAGTGTACGGTGACTAACTCAGAGATGGCATGTGCCATGTCCGGGCCTTGAGAGTCTGCCTCACAACTTCTGACGGCACCAACAGGGAAGGGGTGCTCAGCGGCTGGGCCGCTGCGCCATTTTCAGTCCATCCCTTCGGAGAATGAAGCTCACAGGGAGGAAGGCACACACAGGTGACGAGAGTTCTCAGAAGTTCAGATGAGCTAAGGACACTGTGACAGAACGACTTTCAGACTTCTTGGTTATTGTTGTTGTTATGTGCCATCAGGTATGACCACTAGTGACCCTATGAACTCTGTCCTATCCTGCGCCGTCCTCACCATCTCAGACATACTTGATTGAGCCCTTTGCTGTGGTCCAAACACTTCCTCTCTTGCTCAACGCAGCTGAGCTGAATTTCTGGCAGACCTGGGCAATCTAAAGAGTATTAAAGGAGGCAGCAAAGAGGCTGGGAAGAGAGAGGAACTTATTGGGAATTCTTCACACTTTCTGACCAATCCACCTAACCTCAATCTCTTGGAAACTGGGTTTCTCTCTGTTAAAGACCAAATGATAACCAGGTTTTCTTAAGGAGTCCTCGAGAGGTTAACAAAGCTGAAAGCTTCCCTTGATGTTCCTGACACAGGGCAAACCCTGAGGTCACCAAAAGCAGAACTCTGCTAGCCACGGGGGTGGTGTAGGAAGACAGCACAAGCAAAAAGCAAACAGAACTGCTCCTTGTTGAAGGCATCCTGGTGAAACAATGGCTACGTGAAAGGCTGGCAGTTCAGATCCACCCTATGGCTCTGTAGGATAAAACCCTGGTGATCTTTTGGAAAGACTGCAGCCTAGAACACATGTAAGGCAGTATTACTCTGTCACGTATGGTTACCACGAGTCAAAATTGACTTGACGGCTTCTAACAATAAACACAACACCCACTTTTGGGAGTGGAGAACCCACCTCTGCTTTGAAAGAAGAGGGCGGCCTTTTCCAGAGGGCAATTTGGCAAAATTAGGAACCACAGGAAGCTGCAGGAGCAAACCTAAGAACAGGCACCTTGCTTGGTGCATTTATCTATTATCTCCATTTCACAGATGAGACATATACTGGGTCTAATATATACATATGTAAAAAGACTCTGAACAAAACACGTATAGTTTCTGGGCCTATTATGAAGTTACTGCTCCTCAGATCCAAACGTGCTCTTCTGCCCTCCACTTTCTGGTGCAGAGGCTGGGACTCTGCAAACCACACTCCTGGTTCTAGGTTAGGGTCTGCCAATTGTTGTTGCTGTTAGGTGCCATCGAGTCAAGTACAACTCACAGCAACCCTACGAACAGACCTGAACCCTGTCTGATCCGGCCCCTGGGGTCTGTCCGTCAGTAGGGTTAATAAAAGAGGCTCCAAGGAAGCAAGGTATCCCCTGTCTGCCTCAGCAGAGCACACGCCTCCTGGGGGCAGCTGTTCCATCCCACAGGAGCAATGAATCCAGCCCATGGTTTCCCCAACAGCCCAAGAACCAAGCTCATCAAGCTCCCCACCCTCTCTCACCACGCCTTCACCAGCACCAGGGATCAGAGTCCCCTCTCAGAGACCTGGTATCATCAGTCCAGGATCAGACGGGTAGCCTCTCTCCTTCAGAGACCAGTGTTTGCGCTCCTGCGGGACTCTGCTGAATGTCTAGATGCCATTATTCTCTTTTCTTTGTTCCCTTAGCTCTGAAGATACGAGCTGTTTACTGCAGCTGCAGCTCCCTCCACCTTACCTTAAGACCTTCCACTACCTGGTTACCTACTTTGCACCTTTTTAGCAATTCTTTATACTACCTTCCCTCTCTTCAAACAGCTAGTCTGGTTTCTGCCTCCTGACCAGAACCTGACTGATACACTCCCTGAGAAAACCATTCCACTTGTTAGAATCTTTCCTAAAAACAAATTGATACAGTATTTGGGAAAAATGCTCTGTAGATTTGTACCATCACCACAATATTTAAAAATCTAACTGGTCCTTGGAGAGGGACATCATGTTTGGGAGAGTGGAGGGGCGGTGCAGGAGAGGAAGACCCTCTATGAGGTGGACTGACTCAGTGACTGGGGTAATCGGGATGGGTGTGTTGGAGACAATGCGATTGGCACAGGATAGAGCAGGGTTTAGGGCTGTAGTACATAGGGTCGCTATGAGTCGCAAGCAACTCGACGGCACATAACAACAATAACAACCAGAACCATGCTCAACACCCTTGTTTTATAATTTTAAAAAACTCAAAATATCCTCCATTATTTATGAATGAATGACAAGTATATATAATAAGTATTACGTAGTCATTAGAGATGAAGATATACAGAGTTGAGAGAAAAGGAAAAAGCAGAGGGTTACAGAACATTTCGAAGAATCAGATTTTCCAAGCAGTATTATTACATTAATGTAAACCTGCATGTATCAGTTAACCAAAAGCAGCAGTCTGTTCCCACACAGGAGGAAAAGCTGACTGTGGGTCTTAGTGGGAAACAGTAAGTCGTGCTGCCTGAGTTGCACCTTCCCGGAGGCTTTCAAACACCAAATCTCATAGATTCTATGAGGCGCATAGCTTTTATTTTGATCTTAAGTCATCAGTGTGAGTTGTCAGAGATGATGCATCAGACTACTAGGTAGTCTTTTTTCTTCTCTTAGCGATACTAGTACGTCTTACAACCTCCGGCACCTTAGAGTGAGTGAAATAGGGAAATTTTGAACACAGGCAAATTAAGGCCTAATGGACTGTCTGGAGAACCCAACTCCCAAGAAACTTCACAGTACACATTTCTTTTACCTTATTAATAATAAACTATTCCATTCTATTGGGAAAAGCAGACCAGACAAAGAAATTGAAAACAGAAAATCTGGGGAGCTCTGGTGGCCTAGTGGCAAGAAGCTGCAACTACAATCCCAGAGGTGCACGGTTCGAATCCGCCAGATGCTCTGCCGGGGAAGGAGGGGCAATCTCCTCCTGTACCAGTCAGATCTGATTTGACGGTACACGCACACAAAAATAATAAAAAAAAACCACACACACAAAAAACAGAAAATCTTGGAGCCTCAAGGGGCTTAGAGCTGAGCTTGAAAGAGGTCCCCTGTTCTACTTGGTGCAAGCCCTGGTGCCTGACCTTGGGCTTGAAAGAGACCCCTGCTGTGCCTGGTGCAAACCCCCTCGACTGACCTTGGGCTTGAAGGATGCTCCCAGCTCCACCTGTTGCAGTACAAATCCCCTTGCCTAACCTTGGGCTTGAAGGAGGCCCCCTGCTGTGCCTGGTGCAAGCTCCCCTGCCTGACCCTGGGCTTGAAGAAGCCCCCCTGCCTGACCCTGCGCTTGAAGGAGGCCCCCTGCTCTGGCTGGTGCAAGCCCCCCTGCCTGACCCTGGGCTTGAAGGAGGCCCCCTGCTCTGGCTGGGGCAAGCCCCCCAGCCTGACCTGGGCTTGAAGAAGCCCCCCTGCCTGACCCTGGGCTTGAAGGAGGGCCCCTGCTCTGGCTGGGGCAAGCCCCCCTGCCTGACCCTGGGCTTGAAGGAGGCCCCCTGCTCTGGCTGGGGCAAGCCCCCCTGCCTG